CAAACAAGCTAACATGTCACAGTCAGTTTTTGATTATAGGAGAGCATATGCATTTTTACCATTATTATAAGGTTGCCAGAGCCTGAATCTTGTAGCGTTGGTTTGGGCAGTGTATGGCAAGGGAACATTAATGAAAAGTATATTGGTCGTTTGAGGGAAGTAAAATTCATCCATCAGGTGCCAAGTGATTCCTCCATTGATGGAGAATTGCAATAAAATAGAATGAGACCTCTCCGGGGTACCTAGAAAGAAGATAACACAGGCATAAAATGTATTATTATAAGAATGAGGAAATGGTATGTTCTTAGCCTATTTTGGCATCAGTGCCTAAGCCAACTTGTATTTACATAGAGGCTTTATAGCACAAAGTTCCTTGAGAGGCAACTTAAAATGTTGACGGACTGGGCTTTCTGCATGAACATATCTCAAAACACACACCAAATCTTGGATTCTCACACAAGAATACTGCTCTCTCTCAGATAGGCACATGTACCTCCCTTCTCTATTTCATTTAGAAAATATTACCTCAAAAATTTTTTATTCTATAGACATTACGATTTTATAAAAGGCCAAACATTTAAATCTTGGATATAAACAAACAAAAAAATAACTACTTGATAATTTATTATGTCCCACATGGTATTACTTTTTTCAAGAGAACTATTCAATTAATATGGAAGATCAGAATGCCAAAGAGTAGGCTTTTTTGGGGGGGGGTCACATCTATAAAAGGAAATCCAAAATTTCCATAAGTTAAACTTTTTTAAATTTAAAAGTCATACAGCTAGCCAGTAGTGGTGGAAAGACTCAGGGACATGGTGATAAATTTAACTACCATAGAGCTAGTATGATTACTATAGCTAACATGAAGATCATAATAAAAACAATAGTTGTCTTACTATTATGTTAGGATAAACTTACATTATAGAAGAACATTTGTGAACCTTCAAGTACAAAAATTTATGTTAGCGCTCCCATATAACAAAATTTATGGGCCTTAAATTCATCATTTCTTTGTAGTGGAGGAATTGTGCACAGCGAATTTTCTTGAAGGAAAATGATGAATGCAGACCCATGGAAATGGCTTACCTTTTGCTATAAATCTAAGTGAGAACTGGACATACATAGTATTCGTACAATCTAGATCTCTTGAAACAAGCATCCTTAGTCCTTCCTGAAAACAAAAACATATGTGTAAGGCAACCTTATTTCATTTGCAACATTACTTTCCTTTGATTTTATACACCTGACTTGCGTTAGGTAAGTACTAGAAGCATGCAACTAATGATCAAGAAGCAGAATCTAAAATTGTGAGGCAAAACCAATTATATTTTGTCCAGTTAAAGATGAATAATTGAACAATTCTTGTTCCCCCTCT